TTGGTTGTTTATGGATTAAAATATATATTGAAACATTACAAAATACATATTTTGTAAAAAAAAATAAAAAAATAATTCTAACTGAATTATAACCTAAACATATGTATATTCATACAATTTCATAAATATGAAATAAATATATAATATATATTTTTAAATATAAATATGATATAAACTCATTGGTCTCCACCACATCACTCAAATCTAACTGTGTTAAATCAAATAAAAAAGGAAAAATGACAGTCATATCCCAGCAGAAACATGAAACATATTATAATGTGTTCTATGAGAGTATGTGTACCATGTGTGTGTTTGTGCATGTGTGTGTGCGTGTGAATGTGAGTTTTTTCTGCATTGGGGATATTCTGTAGTCTCAGCCCTTCGTTTGGGTATAAATCTTTATTGGATTGTCTCAGATTTTGTATATAAAAAAAAAATCAAATGTAATGAAAAATGTAGTTTTCTCGTAAATTCCATTCATTCCTATGCGGGTCAAAATCCACTCAAAACATTTTTTTGTGTATTGCCGGTGCAAGTGTGACAAAAGTTAAGAAATATTGGACCGGTACGATCAACACACGATTTTTTTAATTTTGGGGGAAAAAAATGTCGGGTCAAAATGACCCGAGGGATGGATGAGGGTTTTAAAAGTACGTAAAACTCAATTATACAGTAACAAATGAGCACAAATCAACCTGCATTACCAAACAAGACCACATGGAGATGCCAAAGGACTGCATATAAACTACTACGGATCCATTCAGAACCATTAAACACCAAAATACAAATGAAAAATGAAACCACTCTGAATGTGTGGAAACTCAGCGATCTGAAGGCACACAAACTTCTCCAAAACACGCTCGCATCTGTTATAAAACACTCACTTCTATACAACTACGTGAATATACTGAGCTGTGTTCAAGCAGAAATATGATGTTTAGATGTTTCGTTTGCTCATCAATTATAACGGACACACGCGCGCCTCATGCACGATCCTGTATGTCACTGTAATCATACTACGGATCCATTCAGAACCATTAAACAACAAAATACAAATGAAAAATGAAACCATTCTGAATGTGTGGAAACTCAGCCATCTGAAGGCACACAAACTTCTCCAAAACACGCTCGCATCTGTTATAAAACACTAACTGTATACAACTACGTGAATATACTGAGCTGTGTTTTTATGAACTTGTGTATACTGAGCACGTTCAAAAAAACGTGTTTTTTGTAAAAGCCCAAGTTTTATATTTTATTAAAAATATACACATATGCACAGAAAAACAACCTTCTAAGAGTTTTTTATAATGTGTTGTCTACTGGGGGTTGTCCATCAAAACTTTAGGCTACTAGTGTGACACTGGCTTCTTTTATCCAGCCGAGAGCTGTAGTTTGCTTATCATATACTCATACAGCGGTTTTGAGCCTTTATTTTAGTGCGATGAGAAACGGCTCGAGCTGCTCCGAAACACAGAATATGACAGAATACGTTGAGAGGTGGTGCTGTTATTTATTTGTATAATATTTTTTAAATAATTTAACATATTAGTCATAAAATTAGTGAATTTATTGTATTTTAGTTTTAAGTTAAGCGATAAGCGTTTTCTCTCTCATAGAAAAGCGCGCTTAACGTGGCTTAATATTAAAAAAAACGTGTTTTTTGTAAAAACCCAAGTTTTATATTTTATTAAAAATATACACATATGCACAGAAAAGCAACCTTCTAAGAGTTTTTTATAATGTATTGTCTACTGGAGAGAAAACACGTGAACTGCGCGTAAACTGTAAACAGATTTGGTATTTTTAAATCACCTTCTTCATTCATTAGCTTAGTCATAAAATTAGTGAATTTATTGTATTTTAGTTTTAAGTTAAGCGATAAGCGTTTTCTCTCTCATAGAAAAGCGCGCTTAACGTGGCTTAATATTAAAAAAAACGTGTTTTTTGTAAAAACCCAAGTTTTATATTTTATTAAAAATATACACATATGCACAGAAAAGCAACCTTCTAAGAGTTTTTTATAATGTATTGTCTACTGGAGAGAAAACACGTGAACTGCGCGTAAACTGTAAACAGATTTGGTATTTTTAAATCACCTTCTTCATTCATTAGCCTCCCTGTTGAAAAAACCAGCATATGCTGGTTAGGTATGTTTTGAAGCTGGGATGCT